CGCTCTAAGATGCAATCTATCTCTCTCGCGCGCTATGACGCACCTCTCTCTCTCTCTCTCTCTCTCTCGCGCGCGCGCGCGCTCGCGCGTTCCAACCTGACGGGCAACCCGTTCGTCGCGTTGGAGCGTTAGTGCTCGCGTGGCAAATGAGCTGCGGCTGAACGCGCTTGCACGTTAAGTACCTGTTCGGCCCGTTCCCGCTGCGCCAACCCCCAGGAGGCCGCCGCAGGCCGGTGCCCCGCGGGTTTTTCTTTTTTCTTTGGAAAAACAAAAAAAAAAATGAATGCAAGGGGTGGTACCCGACAACGAGTACTACCACCCCGCACCTTCACAAAACCCCCTCGCCCCCCCCGACAGCGCGAAATAACGGTTCGCGGACCCCGCTCATTCGCGTCCAACGCGCGTTTGAACGGGGATTGAACGCAAATTGAACGCGCGTTCAATTTTTTAACGCGGACCCCGCGTTAAATCGAATTTCGGACACACAGCCACTACTCCATCCGCCTCAAACAGTGGCGAGACATGGCGAGGCCGAAAAGTGCATTTTTCTGGAGGAAAACGGCTCTTGGTTCCATTACATTGCCTCCCCCACGTGCACTATGGTTGCTGTCCCGGCCTGCTCCCCGGACTGTGGCAGATGGCGGGCTCGGTGGCAGCCTTCTCTTCACCATGTACTTGGGCTGGAAATCACTCCAGGTGCAGCGAAAACTCGCCAACACTACGGGACAAAGCAGGTCGACCGTCAGAAGAGCGGTGTCAGGGGCAATTGCCACACGAAGCATTTCGCGGAGGGGTGAGGAGTAGCACCGTCCATGAAGGGTCATTGCAGGCAGGGGAAATGGAAAGCCTTGGCAACGCATAGCGAAGTGATTTCAGACCCAAATTCTGATAGCGTCCATTTCGTTGCTATTGGCGATGAAGTGGAACGAAGTCGCATTCGCCATGTGTGGCGGATGGCGAGTAGTGGAACGAGGCCCTTAATCTCGGTCATGGGAAAGGAATGGCGAGGCGTCAGACCATTGCCTTCGTGAGCAGTGGTGCAAAAAAGGGCCTCTTGAAGCATAGGGCCTCGTCGCACAACTCTTTGCCTCGTTAAAATTTTCAAGAGTGCGGCATGAGTGCTCAGAGTCCTAATGACGCCTAAACTTTAATCGTCGCTGCACTTAGGGCATACTTGTGATAAGCTAGGATCCGTACTCGGCGGCTTCCCGTAAGCCCTCAGAGTACGGGCTCTGGATAATTGGGAGGAACGGGATTTCTTTTCTTTTTCTTTCTTTTATGAAAAGAGGGACAGAGTAGAAAATTTAATTTGGGTCTTACGTGGCCGGTTAGCGGCTGCGCCAAGAAATTCAAGAAATAGTTGGAAATTAGCGGGAGTAGGAATTTTGAAGTTTTGCGCAGCGCGGCTGTTTTTTAAATTTTTGGCGCACCGCGTAAACCCGTTCTCTCGCTCTACATCCCCGCGCCATTGTCCTTTCTTGCTGCTCATTCCCTGTCTGCGTGCCTTTTTGTTTTCCCTCTAAGCGAAGTCTGATCCCTTCCTTCTCCTTTGCCTGCGAAGGATTGGCTGTTTGATTGGGCTGGTCGGGGCAATGTGGTGGTAGCGGGAAACACACCCCATTTGGCTGACCACCCCAATCACGCAGATTATTCGACTCGCCTCCTTCGATCCTTCTGGAACCTCTGCCCCTCTTATGTCCTGCTCATCTACACCCCGTGCTCCGTGCAGCCTCTCCGTCGCCTTCCGCGCTATAAATTCTCGCAGTCCTTTCCTCTCCCTCTCTTTGATCTCGGCTGCAAGCTGCACAAGCTATGCGTGAAGCCCTCAGCGCCGAAAAGGCTCCACGTGTCCCGTGGTGGACGGAGTGACGGCAGGTGGCGGAGTTTAGCAAAAGACTTGGGGTAAGGCAGTCGGAGGGACTGAGTGGTGGTGGAGATCAGACGCCGGCAGCGGCAGGGCCTTGTGGCTATGGTTGTCGGTGGTTTTGACGGATTGGGGGCTGGGCCCGGAGCGGCCTGTCATGAGAACTTTATATACTAAGAACTTACTTTTCTCCATTGCTGCTTTGTTCCCTGAGTGATCTGTGCAAGGTCCCAACTTAGGGGCACTTTGTTGAATGCCTTCTCGGGTGTGGAAATCTATGGATGATTGAATGTTTCCTTGTTCTGGAGGACTCTACAAGTAGGCGTGTGTGTATGCGCCCCCAGGCCTAATGACAGGCAGTACAAGTGTTGATTGCCTGCATGAGTGCATGGGTGCGTCGGTTCTTTCTCCTTTCATTCGCCCCTAGACCCACGCGGGTGTGTGGGATACGCGCCAACCTCCTTCCGATATCCCTCTCTCTCACTGTGCGCAGGTTGGGACTTTGGGAGACGGATAATTGTGGACAGATCGGTCGTCCATGTCCCCGCGAAGCGGCCGACCTCTTTGTGTCGACCCCGGGATCCCCGACATCGCGTCCGGGTTGATTCTACAAAGAGAGAGAGAGAGAGAGAGAGAGAGAGAGAGAGAGAGAGAGAGAGAGAGAGAGAGAGAGAGAGAGAGAGAGAGAGAGAGAGAGAGAGA